CCGAATGACAATTGTTGCTCATTGTTAGCAGTGTGGAATTTGTGCCGACTGATGCTCTAGTAGCGCTTTTGGATAAGCAGAGCAGTAACGGAAGATTTTGTTTTAACAACAACAAAATCGATCACTGATTCGCAACGAATAAGTTCTCGTTCACCTCACAATGAACAGTTGCTTGCTCTCTGACAAATTGTTGGGCCTATTTTGATGTGGTCGACAAATTGATGAATTGGCCATTCGAACTGAAAATGAGATAAAATTTATCGGATTTTTTGGCGATGAAACTAAGTCTATCGCTCCAAACACAGAAATTTTATGGTACTGTCATATGGAAAGAAGTCGCTTTTTCTTTCAGTAGGGAAAAAGCTTTCAAGAGAGAGCGAACGCATCTTTAGGAATTGCTTGTCAAAAAGAATTTATTTCCGTTTGAAGCACAAAAGTGATTTACGAATGAAAAGTGGTGTGGAACCAAGCATGGAACGCAATTGCATTATTTTCAGCTTAGAACCATCTAGTCGCTATCGAAAATTTGATTGATGTACTTAATGAGATTGACTATATAAAAAGACGGACAATGCACAAACTATTCAGCCAGACAGATTCCCTTAAACAGCCAATACCCTCGTTTATTACCCTCACCATTCTGTTGCTGCTGCTGCTTCTGATGAATTATTTGCTCACATCACATAAGCGCAACAAGTCAGTCGACTTTAGAAGTGTCGTATCTTTGGAAGTCATTCAAAAACAGAAGTCAAGAAAACAGAAATCAGAAACGATTTGTTCATTTTATCTGATGAGGTGTATTTCGATGATGTAAACAAAGAGAACAGCAGTTGCACAGAGGTGAATGATTGCGATGATTAATTTTCACGTGTAATTACAAATAAGTTGGGAAACTTCACGAAGATTTATTATCGGAAATAACTGTTCGAATGTCGTTTGATGTGTGATGGCAACAGAACAAAACAGAACAGAACCAAACACCCACATTAGAGGCGCATTCCTTGGCAATCCGTAAAACTCATACTAGCGAGTACATTGGCCCATTGGAAGGCAAATCTTATGCACAGGCTTGAACACAGTCTCGAATGTGAACCTAAGTCCGTTTTTAATTCAAAAAAAAGGAGACTCAAATACACCCACAGTGTTGCGGTTTTTAAGGCTCATATATCAGTGTGAATAGTGCAAACTGTACTTTTATTGACGTATCAAAATAACATACATTCTGATGCTTCTGGAGCCTTCGACAATTAACGAACACATTAACAAGAGCACTTGTTCTACACAAACAACTGATTTTGAGTTTTGTTTTCGATGACGCTGTAATTTTGATTCGGCAATTTTGCTTTGTTTCCATTCGTAATTCGTAGATTCGTTATTTTAGCTTTGGTGGCTGATCGGTTTACTGAAGGAGCGTTCGTTCGCCAGCTTTTATCACACTTGTTGTTAGTTGGTGCATAATCAGCTGATGAAAACCAATCTGAGAATAGACTGAGCGAAATTTTAGAACGGTAGCAGGCGAGTGCAATCGCTGCGTTCATGAGGTCCACCTTGTTAGCAGGCCCATAAATGGAAGCAATATCATGCCACTGCTGAAAATTACGCGGCACACTACAAATGAGGAAAGTATCTCATTTGATCTCATCTNNTAGCAACAGCATCATCCACAAGAACACAGCTCCACAAGTCTATGGCCCCCTTGATAGTAATTATTAATAAATGAGCTGCCAAAATACGAATGAACAACGAGTGAGAATGACTGTTTCATTTCCAAGGGAGATATTGACTATATGTGGCAATAGGAAGGGTCAGCAAGGAGAGTCGAAAACAGTTTTATGGATGGTTTATTGAGAAATTGGTGCAAAAAGCCGTTCCGTTTTGTTTACTCATTGTTTTTCTGTACTCTCAACATTTTGGTACGTGGTTTCAAGCATTTCATTACTAGGAGGTTGGACATCAGCAGTGAATGTTTCAAGTAGTAATAGATGCAGTTTTTACGGCAGGAGAGCCGCAATCAGTTAAGCATTCCTTCTCTGTAGGTTCAATCCCATCCCGATCGATGAAAACAGTGCAAAACAATTTTCAGCATGCGGCTTTTGAGATGTTTCTTGTTGCGATTGCACTGAATATGAAAGGCTCGAACTGAGAGAATACGAAAGGTTCGCTGTGATCATCTCGACCCCGGAGTGTTCACCCCACATTTTGTTTCCGCAGATATTTTGCCCTCCAAAATATTCACCACCCATCAAATAATCATTTTAGATATTTGTTCTCTTCGTTCAACTTTTGCCAACTGTAATGCTAACAGGAAAATAATTTATTGTTTGATGCAAACATCTTTCATTCGTTTCGTTTGTAGCCCTAAAGCCACTCAACAAAGTGATGTTTAATGAAATGTGTTTTTTCATGAATAAATCGTTATGTTTATGAATAAATATATATATATAAAAATGTGAGTATTAATGGTAAATGCAAACGGCCCTGGGGCATACCTTCCCTAAA